AGCTGAAAACAGCCACTTTTATAACAGTCCTGTCCGGCAAAGATGCCCAGGCAGGCTTGGCACAGAAGGACCTTGAGAAGGGAACAGTTTGTGACACTTTGTTATCATGTGTTCCAAGCTGCAGAGAGGTCCGGGCTCCAGCTGATGGAAGAGAAGGATCCGGCAGATTAAAGGCCACACATGTAGACTCCTGTCTCCATGTAGACCAGATACTGAAGGGGTCAAACTGTACATGAAAACTGACCATTTCTGGACATTACATGTACATGTAAGAAACATTTATGCTAGGTGCTTTACAAAAAAAAAAACTTGAAGATTTCCATGATTTACAGGCAGATTAGTAAACATTTTAATCAACCTTTGGGTCCTCTTTTGAACTTAACACTTTAATAGCTGTATTATATTTAAATCTGTTTATGGTGACAGAAGTTTTCATTATTTTATTTAGTATTACTGATGGTCTACTAATCCACCATATAAAATGTTAATTTTTTTGTTTTGATGAGCATTGCAAAAAATCACAAAGAAAATTATTCAGTAAAATTAAAAAGAAACAGATTTCACTGAGTTCAGGTGGGCTTGAAATTTAAAAGGATTATTTAGGGCAGGATGGGAAATCAGTTTGGATTTAAACAGAGTCTAACTACACCCTGATAATGGCATATTTTGATATTTTTGGTCCAGTTCAAGTTGCTGAAACTTCAAAACACAGCAGTCCCTTTAAAGAAAAACTTCCATCCTGTCTGAACCCAGAGTGGCGTAGATCACACAGTCTCACTGAGGTGGTTGTAGCTCAGGAGGAAGAGGGGCCATTCAAAAAGTTGGAGGTATAATTCTGGCCTCCCCCCACCCTATGATGAGGGGTTCCAGAGAAATATATTGGAACCAACACAGGCCCTGTGTGTGTGTGTGTGTGTGTGTGTGTGTGTGTGTGTGTGTGTGTGTGTGTGTGTGTGTGTGTGTGTGTGTGTGTGTGTGTGTGTGTGTGTGTGTGTGTGTGTGAACAGGAGTTGAGGTCAAAGCATCTTGAATATGTGAGATGAAAAATCCATTTACCACAAAGACTTTCAAAGAAAACAATCCTGATAACAATGATTTGCTTTATTGAAAACAATATTATAATAGATTTCAAGGTAATCTTTTTTTTCTTTCCCATGAATTAAAAGTTTCTCGGAAAAAAAGCGTAACTGCCCCCCACACACACTTAAATGTTTTCAAATGCAGAATAATGAAATGATTTTGAGCCACAAACACTCAATGTCAGTATTTTTCCTGTTTTTTAGGCTCTGAACACAAAGTGCATTTTCGTTTTTTGATTTTGAAACAAGACAATCATTTTTCCAGAGCACACGCAAAGACCCATGAATGCTCTCGCATGATCTCACATACACGGTCGGAAATGGACTCAAGTTAACAAGACTAAACCAAACAAAGGCGGTCTAACGGAAGTGTGAGCAAAAGTTAACAGCAAGAGGAGTGAGGATGTTTCAAGTTAAAAAGCCGTTGTGTTGAATTATTAATGCAAAGCATTGTGCCTTCAGATGCTGCCTTATGCAGACTCTCTCCCACACACACTCACAAGTACACACACACACATACATGTACACACACTCAAGAAACAGCTGCAATCCCCAGTTGCTTGTGCAGACAGGAAACAGAGTAACTTGTCACTCTTTCTTGATTTGGGGTGTGTGTAAGTGCTCTGTTGTCTCCGGCCCAAATGAGAGGGATGTTTGTAGTTGTTCCATGAATGGGGAATGCTGTGTGTGTGTGTGTGTGTGTGTGTGTGTGTGTGTGTGTGTGTGTGTGTGTGTGTGTGTGTGTGTGTGTGTGTGTGTGTGTGTGTGTGTGTGTGTGTGTGTGTGTGCGCGTGCGCGCGCGTCATGGCTTGTAGCAGGATTCACACATGCTGAATACCTAAATATAGGTTACAACCATCTGTAATCATCAGTGTTCACCAGGGCTTTACACTACAGTTGCTTTGTTTGAAATTTTAAAGTGCACTCATGCTTCAGTCTTCTAAGCTTCAACCAAATTGGAAGGCTCAAATTTCCTCTTAAGAGAGGACATTGTTTTGAAATGAATCCTTCTTAAATTCATGCAATACTAATTTTTCCTTTTAAACTAAAAGTGGCAATAGGAGAACTTTTTTTCATTACTATTTGAAATAAAAGTTATGTGGATAAAAGAAAATATGGATGTGGCAAGACAACGCAATATTTATTCCTGCGATATATCGATATTCAAAAGCATTGTATCGAATTTTTGGAAGAATTTACATGCAAACAATTGTTTATTTTCTTTTCTTTTGGTGCAATTCATACGCCGACCGCTAGTTGGCAGCAGTGTGCAATCGGTTTTGTTTCCACCACTGAAATGTAAATCCCTCTGTTATGGTTCAGATACCTCATGTTAAACATGTTACATATCAGTTTGGACTGTTTATTGCATTTCCCAACAATAATTTCAGTATAAAAACATTGCTAATATTGTCTAGCTGAGTGTAGCACAATATATCGTGATGTATTGTATCATCTCCCCAGTATTGTAAAATGGCCTGTATTTGATATAGCGCCTTCTAGAGTCCTGGAACCCCCCCAAGGCGCTTTACAACACAATCAGTCATTCACCCATTCACACACACATTCACACACTGGTGGGGATGAGCTACAATGTAGCCACAGCTGCCCTGGGGCGCACTGACAGAGGCGAGGCTGCCGAGCACTGGCGCCACCGGTCCGTCCGACCACCACCAGCAGGCAACGTGGGTTAAGTGTCTTGCCCAAGGACACAACGACAGCGACAGACTGAGCGGGGCTCGAACCTGCAACCTTCCGATTACGGGGCGAGCACTTAACTCCTGTGCCACCGTCGCCCACTAATATGTATTGTATCACTAGAATCTCTCCAATACACATCCCTAAAAAGTTTATTTGTATTAAAAAAGACACCTAAAAGTGACAAATGGGCCTACAATTTATTTTACCAGTATTAATCACGTCCTGCCTTCAAAGTCAACCTTTAAAAATCGGCGTAGAGAAATTAATGTAGTCATTTAGGCGAAATTTTACAAGCATTACTGGTAGACCATATCATACAAAAACAATGGAAGGTCCCTAATGGTCTGACAGCACTTCTTGTCAATGACTCTGCTTCTAACACTTTATCACAATATTTGTAAAAGTGACAGAGTGTTAGCCTTTTTTGTATTTGTGGTGGCCATCTTGAATGGGATTGACTTAGAAACATTAATCAGTTGTTGAACATCAAGTGATTTTTTTTTTAAGTTTCATTAAAATCCCTCCTCTGGTTAAATGAGATATTTTGTTTCCAAACATAAACACAAGCAAAAGCATCATCATCACCTTTTTTAGGATGTTGACCAGAAACAGGAAGTGCATTAAGCCTGGGTCATACTGTCGAAAACACAGACATGATCTACATAGACGCCCCATGGACTGGCGCTGCATAGTGGAGCAGGCGTAGTGGCCGGCTGCCATCTTAAATGGGTCTTCATTTATTTCCACTGAGGAAGGTGTTTACCCAACTAAAAAAACACATTTTATTTTGCTTTCTCACAAAATCAGACATGTGTTATGGCATGAAAGTTGAAATATAAATATAATTACATAAAATAAATTAAAATATAAAATCCCAACATGTAGGCTAGAAAAGACCCACATGATCTCTTTTCAATAGCACGATGGTTGTTGCATTTGTATGCTGTACAAAAAATGGAGCATTGTTTCTCACTCTGCTTGGACTCCAGTTGGGTTTGGAGAGCGACGAGACCCACCCAATATGGTGGCAACACTGCTCTCCAGCACCCAATGGGGCGTCTACGTATTCATGTCTATGGTTGCAAAGGACTGCTTCACGTCACACTGCAGGGACTCTAGAGAGGTGGCACACCATACGGCCCAAGATTTCAACAAACCAAACTGCACTGTTTTTGCGCTTTAGCAGGACAAGCTAACGTCACGCATGTTCTTGCCAAAAAGCATGCCACCAAAAACCTGACAGCTAACCAAAACAACAATGAAAATGGAAAACGTTTCCACCCCTTAATACTTTTATTTACTAGACTCTAAATCAAACTACAAAAATGAGTGATCCACATGTTCTTCATGTAGCCTCCATTGTTGCTAACATTGCTAATGCTACTCTCGCACTGTCCACTCATCATTAGTTTTTCACATCACTCCCTGGGTGTATTTTCATGGTTAATTGCCCACACTTGATGGTCACAGACCTGCAAATCACCCTATGCTCTCCATTTTTTGTTACGATTCCGGTCACAATGAGGGATTTGTCTAAGACAGCTAAAAAATGCACACAGGCTTTACGCATGTCAAACATGAAAATTTTACTCCTGTTTTTCCAGCTCGTATCACATATGCTGACAGCACATAAATAGCCTTTGATTATGTCAGCGTGGCTTAATAATCAGTGTGACGCAGATCCACACTCTGTGCTCATCCGTGCTCGGGAATCGTGACAGGACAAAAGATTAGAGATGCATGAGGAAAAACACAGTGTGTTATCCACTTCAGAAGCACCGGCTCTCACAGGCTCGTGTTTTACCTGCTCAAACCGCTCACACCCATCCCAGGTGGCTGCCTCAAACATCTTTGTAGTGGAGTCTCGTTGCTGTTTCTGAGGTGAAGAGCTAATGTTTGAAAGTGTGTGCAACAAAAGCAGTGTGTGACATTAAACGGCTGCTGTCCTTGAGTTACAGTGATATTTTCAAGTGGTGTTTAAAAGGGGCATTTGTGTAATTGCATGTTGAAATCTTTGGTAAAAACTTCCCAGATGGTTTAGCTGCACATGTCAGCTTTCTTATCTCCTCCCTGGGAGACGTGGGTTGCCTAAATTGTGTGAATAATAAATATTTAAAGCACAGTTTTCTAACTCATGTTCTTTTCTCTCTCTCCTTTCATCCTATTTTCACATTCTTTTGCTCCTTCTCCACCTCTCTTTCTTCTCACCTTTACTTGCAGCTGGCGTTGCTGTGGCTCAGAGAGTTGTGACAGTCCAGAGTGGACCTCTCATTCGAACCGAAGGCTCCCATGTGACCATTTGGTGCAACGTGACGGGCTACAAAGAGGGAAGAGAGCAGGACTTTGAGTGGTCCATGTACTTGCCAACAGTGCCGGACCGGGAGATCCGGATTATAAGCACGGCTCAGTCCAACTACGCCTATGCCGTGTATTCCCAGCGGGTGAATGATAAAGAGATCTTTGTGGAGAGGCTTAGCAGGGACTCGGCGGTGCTTCACATCACCAAAGTGCAGGCCAAGGACCAGGGTCTGTTTGAGTGTTACACACCCAACACGGATGGACAATACCTGGGATCCTACAGTGCACGCACCAACCTCACTGGTGAGTTCTTTAATGGTCAATCAAGGTGTTAAATGCAAACAGCAATCTGCCAAAATTACCAGCATGTTGAATGAAAATGTCTTGTTTCTTTGATATTTGGTAATCAGTAACTGTATCAGCAAATCTACTCTATAAATAGTGGCTATCTGTGGAATTTATGACTAATGTGGTGGTATACTAGCCTGGCAAGCCATCCTATATATGCAAATATATATTTTGACCACTACCCATAGACAGAACTCAGTCGTGGGACAGAAACTATGCTTGACTTTCAAACTGTCTCCGCATGCTATTTGACAACGAACAATGGACATACTCACTGCTATGAATTTAAGTCAATGGGACAGTCCGCCATACACTGTCAAAGAAGACACAAATACATCATTTTGCTAAATAAAGGACTTGTATACCTCTATCTGCTCTTGTTTCAAAGAAAAGCCCAAGTCTAAATAGTCCAATCTTGATGCCAACACCGTTTAGAACGAGTTGCCGTCATCTTAGTTGTTGTGCTCTGTCGCATCCTCTTGCCCACCAAACCAATAGAGAGCTGTGATTGGCAAGCCACAAGAATGTTCGGGTCAATGGTAGACCTGCTGAGGCTCCTATGGAGAGTGACTAGACTAACATAAAGAGCAAAATGCTTTCGCTTTGACTTCCGTCTGTCTAGATTTCTATACTAGTGGTATACAGGGTGTTTTTATGATTTCCATTTGTATTAGATTTGAAGCCCCTTTATGACCCTCTACTGCAGAGGTGTCCAACCCTTGTCCTCAACGGCCCATTTCCAATGTGTTGCAGTTGATTCACAGGTTTGACATACCTTATTCAATGGTTGAATAACCTGGTGAGCAGGTCATTAAGCTATGAAGGAGTCGGTCAATGACCCACTGAATAAAATCAGGTGTGTTGAAGCACAGAAACTTCTATAAAAATGCTGGGTACCGGCTCTCAATGACCAAGGTTTGACAACACCTTTGAAGAATCAATTTAAATGAGTAAACCTTTATTGTCTCATTAATGAGGAATTTGGGCGTTACAGAATTCTAATAACATACAAGGAATATAGGACAGCAACCAAGTCAGATATCAATACAACATCTATATAAGATGGATTGATGAATGGATCATTTAGGTTGAGGTAAGAAAACTTATTAAAAATTTTGTCCCACTTTGACAAAAATGGTCTCAAATCATGGTGATGGCACAGTACCATGTCCAAAAACATGCCATTTCTCCATTTTTTGTGTTTTATGCATCTACAAACCACATTTGCATTTTTGCCAATGCCAATTACCCTAAATATGATATTTTGCGTTGGTGGTGGTTAGTAAGTCCAAATCACAGTTTGTGTAACAGTCAGCTCGAAATACTTGGAGAGCTCATGTTTTGTACAAACATTAGATCTGTACCAAAACTTCATTGGTTCCTGCTTTTAGCTCAGCGTTGATTTTCCCACCTAGCTTCAGGAAAATGGCAGTTTATACATGCAGCAAACAAATGGTACTTTTTCTATATGACATTATCTGTATATTTTGGGTAAAGATTGGCTTTGAATAATGTTTTTTTTTCCAAAACTTGACTTTTTTTTTTATTGAACTCTTGAGGAAACAAATGTGATGCTTTAGAACATTTCCGCGTGTCATTTGTTTTCAGTCAATTTTTTTATGTGACAATTTTTTTAAAGGAAGTTTGTTTCTTTTGCTGAAGCCACCCACCTGGTGATGTGGTGAAAAATCATTTAGTTTTGACGGTCTTTGGTTGTGTGAACAGAAACTTCTCACCAACGAAGGGATTTTCAACAAGCTATCAGCTAAAATCCTGGCATTGGGACGATGGATCAGCTGATGGATGATTAATCTCTTAGGCTTTTCTTGAGTTTAGTCTTTGCTGGACATGTTTGGACTTTCCGATGCCGCTCTAAATCATCATTGTGAGGTCTGCCACTTTTTCTTTTGCCCTTCACTCTTTCTGTTTCCTCGTATTTTTAAAGAACTCTATACACATCCTCCTGTCACTTGATGTCAGCCAAAACATAGAAAGAAACCTTGAAAACTCTTCAGGTAGTTTTAAAAATTGTTGCTCAGGTCCGTTTTCTAAAAATTACCAGAAATTATGGCTCATTTTTCTTTATCTGAAATGTGAGACGCTCCAAAACTTCTGATACTATACCTCTCTCCCAACTCTCACTTTTTTTAGGCACATTTAAAAAACCAGAAACTCTGACGTATCTGCTAACACCGGTTTTGTTTCACGCATCCCCTCCTCTGAAGGAAAACTCAAGCTCTTAATCTCACACACTTCCATACACAAGCAAACATACACTCTCTTCCCACCTATCCATTCCTTGCCGTGGGCAGTTTCTGTAACATACCCACTGTGTTGGCAGGATGAGCGACTCTTTCAAACACGAACACACGATTCTGTCTTCAACTCTTTCATGAAAGGAGTCAGATCGGCCCAAAAGGCAGCACCGAAACCACAGCTGTCATAGATGCCTTTCCCTTCGTGGCGTCATGTCTTCATCCCTCAAACAGCTGACTTTCCTTTTAAGGCTCGAAGCAAATGTCTGGTGCAGAAAATTGGTGGTACAAGTAATATTGTCTCTCCGTGCAACGCCGTGCACAAATATTAGTTCAGGATCAGCATTATTTGGCGCTCCAGCTGCAGCCGTTGCTTCCTAAAAGCTAAATAAACGGTAGCAGATTGATAAGAGTTGTTTATCATTAATTTTTTTACAGAATTAGCTGTCTTGGACTTCAGCTGTTATAACTTCTAGTATGTGTAGCACGATGTGAATGTAGGGCAGGGCTCAGTCGCAGGGCACTGTGAAACAGTGCTACTGATAATACGCAGTATTTATAGATCTGTGTGATCTCCCCCTCCTCCCTGTCCGGAACTCGACCTCACCAGTCTGAAACAGCCACCTTGTCCGTAACAAGTCCGGACCTGTTACTAGGGGCGTCGTCCGGTTAAATTACGAAAAACGTTATCCGGATGTTTGTATTCAGACACAAAGGTCTTACGGACAGAGTCCGGAACATTTCCGTTTTTCATGGCCTGTCTGAAGGGGGCTTACGAGACAGAGAGGGAGAGCTGAGGTACTGAGGGTTGGTTATCCAAGTTTCTCTCTGTGTCTCTAACCTTATAACCCAGTTTGGAAGGTCAGCGGTTCACAACAGGATCTCTCTCATATTTTCCTGTCGGTTGTGACACAAGTGCTTGTGTGATTCCCCCGAGCAGCTGGGTGCCTCTTCAGCTCCCGTACAGAGCAAACGACAGCAGTCTGCCTGCCATTCCTCTTTTTTCATTTGTCTTTCATCCCGTCACTTCTCGCCAGTCTCTCTTTTGCTGGAAGATATGCGTATCAAAGCAGATGTCAAAGTACTGCCATGAGCAGTTAGTAATATCAAAGAAATGTGAAAAGGAAGTGCAAGAGGCAGATGTTTGGGTGTCCGTTGGGTGAGTTGGGTTAATTGTAGAGATACATGCCTGTTCGATAATCTTGGCTCTGAATAAAAGTCTCACCCAGTTACGGTTCTGCCCAGAAAACAGTGAGAATGTGTTTCAAATGGGAACGTAATACTCGCTGCCTGAGGAAGAAGGTTAGGGCTAGGGTTAGGTTTCTTTTGTGCACCTGGACACTGTTCTGTCTGATCCCATGACTTTTTGTTTTGTTTGATTGTCAAACTGTGATTGATTGTCTGGAAAGTGCACAGTTTTTTTCTGGTTGCATGTAAAAAAATAAAAAAAATACACCTTTTAAGGCTACTGAACAGTGTGTGTTTTTAACACCCTCTATGATACTAAAAGTAGATTAATCAAATGAAAGCGAAGCCTGGCTCATCCTCTTTAGCGCTATTAAAGCCTTGGGGAAATGCTGAAATAATTCACGTATAAAGAATAATTGGGTATCACAGCACGATATCTGGACTACATCCACTAAATCATGGAACCAATCGTTATTATGTAATATAGAAGATACGATTTATTTACTTTGTTTTTTTTTTTTTTGAAGAGGCATGTCTGCAGACATTCATTTTCAGCAATCAAACACATCTTAAGAAGTCAGAGCAACTGTAAAATGCTTTGGACGGCTAACTGTCCACCTGCTGTACAGCTGTCCACATTGTGCCAGACAGCTGTTTGGCAAGTAACTTTGCAAGTTGCTGGTAAACACAAAGAGCACAAGTTCTTTACTTCAAGAGACGAAAAAAATCTGCTTTTAGTAGAGCTGGGATTTTGTTAAGTTGTGAGAAATGAGAAAACAGGATTGTCTCCTTGGCAGAAGCCAAGATGGGTCTCTGGACAGCCCTTGCACTCTCCCAGAGCTGCATCTTTAACTGCATGTTGGCCAGTACAACTGTGGAGAATCTGATTGTCATCTTGGCTAACTGCTGTGTCCTCACAAACCTTGAGATGGGATTTAGACAAATGCAACACGTCTACAACTAGCTTGAAGACAAACCGGAAACTGCCCCACGGACACAGTTTGCAAATAGTTGTAGAGTCAAAGGATCCACTGAAATAAGTTTGCTGCCTGTTTGACTCGGATGCTTCCTGGTTGTCTCTCCTGAGATCTTCCAGATACATCTCACTGGCACAGACCCCGAACTGCCGTGATAGCTTAAATATCCTCTTGGAATGCTTTTGGCTCCTCCAGGAAGTCCTGGGGTAAAGACATGTTACCTCTATTGTCCATTCTTCGATAAGCAGTGATCAGTGGATGCTGGTGTTTTATAATAATTCATCTTGGACTGAAACACACTTTAACCCCATCATTGTTGACTACTTTGAATGCGTAATGAGAAGTATGAGCCAGCATTATTTTTTTTATTGCTTTGCAAGCCAAAAAAAGCCTAGTAATAATTACCCCTGTTGTCATGATGAAGGATGCACGTTACCCAATGCCACATTTCTCCTGCTGTCGCCTGCAATGTCTTTTCACTGCAATATTTATTTGTGCTTCACTGGTAAGTGGTTAAGTGCTTCACAAGGACCAC